AGCAAGAATTGGAAAGGTTAGCTCTGTTTCTGGTATGCTAAACCATCTCCCTTAATGCAAGAGACCAAAAGCCAAATGGAAATATATAAAAAGTAAACATAAGATTTTACTGGCAAAAAGGAAAAAAACCCAAAAGATCCCCAAAACACAAAACAAAGCAAAAAACCTCCACCTTGAAGTAAACAACAAGAAGACAACACAAAACTTGGAATGAATTTGTGAATAACTTAGAAGGAAAACACTGTTAAATTTCTGACAGCTCTGAGACTTTAAAAGGCAAAGAAATACCTGAAGATTTCTAACCAACAGCCAATTATTTGGAAGAACAAATGAATACAGCAATTTAATTAGAAAATAGGGAAGTGTGTAGCTGGAGCTTGCATGCTAAGAAAAAAGGCAAAAGGGTGTCAATATTGCTTTTGCATCTAGGTCTGTCTAGAAATTATTTAGGAAGGAAGTCTGCCAGCAGTGCATGGTTCTGAATTTACCAAAGAAGAGGAGGAAGAAACAAAAAACAACTCTAAACCTAGCCAGTCACATTTACTTAAACTCAATGGAGCAAAGCAAACAATGACGCAAACAACCTCTCTAGAATTGGCAGGGATAAGTAAATGAAGTAGATTCACTCTCATCAACAAGAAGGCATAGTAGAGAAACATAAGTTTTTAAAGAAAAAGGAAGCCATGGTCCATAGATTTACAGGCCTTTACACCACTAACATAGGCCTCAATATAATTTGTAACTACCATTATTGTTTATAAGGACAGATGTTAACTACGACATACCAGAATAAGAACTCCACTGTTCAGGGCAGTGGTATTACTGGAAACAGTCCCATTACAGGTCTGGCAATTTTTAAATACAGTAAGGCATTCCGATGAATGTGACCATAAAAAAACAAAATAAAACAAAACAGAACCAAAACAAACAAATAAAAACTTCCCACACAACCTCAATAAGCCCCACATATTCTAATGCCAACAAACATGCACACAGTCCCAACTGAGCACATGCACATCCCATATGTGGCAGGGAAGGTTGTCATCTAAGAAGTGGAAAAATATCCTTCCTGTCTTCCACTTGGAGAGCAGTTAATTCAGTAACATGTTTTGTATTTGTTCATGTAAAGCAGCATACAATTTTAATCCCTCAAAGCAGATAATTAATCTCCTTGCTCTAGAATGAGTCCACATTCTTACTCAAAAATAACCTTACAAAACAAAAACTACCAAGAAAAAACTATGCCCTTCCAAGAAGGAAGCAGAAGGTCTGATGTTGAGTGTCCAAATCTCTAAGAGTATGATGCTACATGCTCATGCATGGGCAGATAAATCATATTTTTTGACTGAGTGAACACCAGTTTCTTCCACAGGTACTTTAGAAAGAGCCTCTCCTCTCTTGACTCTACTTTTACTTCAGTTGGGTTACATGGAGAAGCTTTCTCCTTTCTCTAAGTAGCACTAAACTCTCTGAAGCCAAGAATTCTAGTTTTTTAACTTCAATGGAAGTTGCATGGAATTCTGCGTGGAATTCAACCAAAATGAGACCGAAGGTCCAAAGACAGACACAATTAGTCTGGTCACAAAAGTTTCATTTCCTTGTAAAATCAAACTGAATCCTCTATTTAGGATTGTCTAGACCCAGATTGTGTGCATTGGTCCATAATTTAACATGGTTGTTATGAAGAAGGATGCAATATGTTTCGAAATGTTTTGAATTAGTGTCTCTATAAAATAAACCACTAAAAATACATTGAGACTGCCTATAAATTCTAGCTCTTTTTCACCTGCATTAACACTAGCACAATGAAAATCAGTTACCAAAGTAACTTTAAAGTTAAATTTTATTGTAATAAAAAAGTACTTTTAAAAGCAAAAAGTAGTGTTAATAACATCAGACTACTCTTAAAATAAAGCACCTGCTAAGAGTGACTTTTCTGCTAACATTTAAGAAAATGAAGCAAAGAAAGAAAAATGTTGTGTAATTTTCCACATCTTCAAATGCAAACATGCAAAACAATCAACCAATAATTACTCTTCTCCGTGTTTTCCACTTGTTCTAGCTACATGACCTCCTTCAGTAATTCCCAAATCTCGTCTTATTGTACTTGTCTTTTTGCATTCCCCTTTTCTGGCATAAGTTAATTACCTATCTTGTAAATTTCACCTGGCATTGCAGTACTTCTTTCATTCAGATTAGTTTTGCTGACACACACTCATGCCGGGGCAACTTTCAAAGACAGAAGGACATGAGATTACTACCTACTGAAACAAGAAATATTTTGGAGATGCAACGTGATGGCCTCTTTCTGAAATGCATTTTTACATAGTATTCTGTTTTTCTCCTTAGGAAAAAAAGTAATTATTCATAGTGCTACAAAGATCTGTTGTTAATTGCAAACATATGCATTGTCATCTTAACAGGGTATTTTAAAAAACAAACCAACCCACAACAACGGGACTGAATTCCTATTCTGTGATCGTCATCCTGAACAGATATATAAAAAGGCCTTCCCACTGGGCTAAGTGCATACTTATTTTTTTTAAAAAAAGGCAAATAATTTCAAATTGCTAATTTTCAGAGAAAGAGATAGGCTATCATTAACCTTCATCTTGCTTTTTGTTTGACAGTCTCCTATTATCATATGGAAAGAAGTGGTGTGTGTTTGTAACAGTAGTTGATTCAAGCCCTCACAGAAAAAGACGATCCTCAGAGACTGTAAATCATGTTATACTGGAACTGGCTACTTAATCAACACTTGGTGTATCAATTTCCACTCTATACATTGAGAAGAGTGACCTATAGATAATAAATATTACTTCTTCCACCCTGCCAGCTAGTTTACCTCTACTACCAAATTGTATAGAGTGAATATAACATGAAAAAAGGACAGGAGGGGAGAAAAAAGAAAAAAGAAACAGTCCATTCTAAACTGTGGGGTTTAGAAAGTACTATAATAATTACTTGTATTACTAGGTTCCTAAACACCTGCAGGATTTGTTCTTAAAATATACTCAGAATATGCTATGATACCTTCCAACTTCAAATTGAGGCTAAGACAAAGTATCCCAAAGAACACACCACCTGAAATTAGGATAAAAATTGCCTGCTCAGATAAAGGTCAAGCATGACTATATAGATACATGTTTCATCCAAGCAACTTCAAATCAGCACAAAGCAAAACCCTTTCTTATCTCAATGCGGCATCTACAGAAAGTTAGACCGTTTACTTAAATACTTGCAATTGGCTACAGCAATAAGAAACCTCTTTAAAAACCACCAACAAAGTGTGCAAAGTGTATGGTTATTTTCATGCTGTCTCTCAAGAGTTTCTCTGTGTGCATGCAGAAATGACTTTGCTTTCTAAATGCCACTGAAGCTGAGCCTGCCAAACCGTGTTCTTACCGCTTAGCACTTTGTTACCTTTAATAAAGCAGTGCAAGACCAAATTCTGCCTCTCTCCAACAACTGTAAAACAGCGTTATAATCTTCTGAATCTGAAAGACACTGGCAGCACAGCTATCATCAAGAACACAGTTTAGTCAGAATAGTGCGGTATGGGAACGTATCCAGCTCAGCTCTCAGAGCCCAGAATGAAAAAAACTTTGCTGCTAATTAAGTCTTCATATTTTGTTCTTAATAGCAAGAAAAAAAGCCAAACAAAACTCAGTGAGAGGCAGTGCACATGTATTTCTTCAAGTAGATTTTGATTACCAACATTTTTATCAAAATATACACATCCAAATTAGGATGAAGGATATTCACAATCACGTTTGCTCTTTCTGTAGCTGCCACCTTCTTAAGCATCTAAAGGTGTTTCACAAACAACAACATATTAACCATCAGAATATTTTTCTTATGTAGGAACAAATTACCCTAATAACTCAGCTCTCTGTGTCCAAAATTTGTTTTTGCTGACACCATCTCTTCTTTTGTAATAAAAAATAAAATTATTTTAATTTCCCATACCTTTATTTTAAATATTTCTGTCCCTTTTCTCTATAACTCTAAGGAGAAAAAATAACACAAACCAACTTAAATAATAAAAATTCTACTTTTTTTGTATTTTTCATATGCAAACATATTTTTGAATGAAAAGTAGGCTATCAAACTGTATTTTCTTCACATAATACTTAATAAACCCATAAATTCTACAAATTATTTCTGCCTTGACAGTTCCCACACAGTCTTCCCTATCTTAAAACTAAAATTTATCCAACTGGACATCCCTCTTAATTTAAACAAATATCACCCAATAATTTGCTTACATAGTTTTCATTATATTCAAGCAACTGATGCAAGAGATGGATGCAAAGGATGCAACTGATTTAACGAAAGCAGAATTTTTGTGTATAGTTGTATAATCATAAGCACTGAAACAAAAAATGTAATTGAAACTAAAAAGAGCTGTAGAAGACATTCTACATTTTCAAATTAGTAAGTACATAAAGCTTGCCACCAAATCGATAAAAGGCCTGCAGGTGGTGTGTTTCAAAGCATGCCAGCATCAAGCAGATCTGATATTTTCCTCACAGACCCAAAATTCCTCATTCTGGATCTCTATTGACAAACCAAGTCATGCTGTCATGCATAGGCTAACGCTACAACTTAGATTTAAAAAAAACAACTTTTTTTTTTTTTTTTTTTCCCCAATGAGTAGGCAGAGAAAACAAAAATTAACCTATGGCTTTCTAGGAAGTACTGAGTGAGTTGCTATGGTCTTAAATTTAAAAAAAAAAATTTTTTTTTTTTTTTTTTTTTATTTATTACCAGCTTGCAACTTTGAAAATCCTCCCTTTCTAGCCAGCTCCACCCCTGATTACTCTGCCCCTTTTTTCACTAGGAACTCCCCATTTTTCTGAAGAAACAGACAGTGGGGCACCAAACTCCCCATAAGATATATGGATTTTTAAGGTTCTACCTGCAGAAGGCAATTACTCAGACAATTTGTGTACAAACTGAAATAGGCTGAAACCAGAATTTTCTTTGTACTGGCTTACCTCATTCTCTTTGGATGTGTACTGTATCTTGAGAGTATCCATGGCTCTGATCATCGCTTGCATGGCAGTAAATATGTTTTGGTAAACCAGTTTTGTGAAGCCTTTCCTGTCTTCTTCTGTGTAACCCGATCCATGAATAATCCTCATTTGTTTAATGAACGTACTCTTGCCACTTTCTCCTGTGCCTGGAAGAGAAAGAGGAGAGAGACAAAAAAAGTATCATATTTGCAAATCCTGGCAGGTGAGAATATTTGTAAATAAACATAGAAAGATGTGCACCTTATCTGAGCATGCATAAGAGTCACCATTAACTGTACTATCATTTCTGAATTTTCCAGTCTCCATAATCTATATTGTTTCAGTCAAAAAAATTGTATTCCTGGGTTTGGGAGGACTTTTTGGTAAAAGATATATATATAAGTATCCTGTCATAATAGATCCTACAATGTTTAACCTAAGCATCCTGTGGGTAGAAGTCAGATTACAAACCAAGTGAGGTATGTGAGTGCAAAAGAAAGACATTTTGTTTGTGTGAGTATCAAATTCCTCAACACTGAGAACTTATTACAAAGTTTGTGTCCCATTTACACCTTAACAATAAAGCCAAGTCTGTGTCCCATTTACACCTTAACAATAAAGCCTGCCCTAATCCTGAACTTGAGGAAGAATTTTATCATTAGGCCACATTACTTAGTTTCACATTTCTACTAATTCTTATATAAATACTGATTGAAAACACGTTAACTGGAATTATAAAAAATGCATTCATTACTATCAGCTACCCTGGGAATTACTAATTCTATTTTAAAAAAACCTAACAAACAGATGTTAAAAACTCATACATTGACTTATATCATTCATATAATATTTTGTATATGTGTATTGCTATAAGCCCATTTACAGGATGTAACAATGTATTTCTTAACATTTTTCAGGACATGAGCCTTGTTCCTCTATTCTTTCCTATTAGCCTTACAACAGAAAAACGTCTGCACTGACACTTATCAAGGGTCCATTCAGGCAGTGTCCCATGCCAACCAAGCTTGTAAGTAGCCGCCAAGAAAAGAGTAAAAAGAAGGGCCAAAATATAAGACACCACCTCTACAGAACCTTCCCTGCAATTTAAAAGCTAGGACTTAGCTTAGAAGCTCATTAACTGAATGCTACCTATTTGGTAGTACTTGGGCAGGTCTTTCCTTAAAGCCATGGAAATTTTTTGCATCCTCAACACATTTTAGTAAGGCGTTTCAGAGGTCTATCACTCATGATAATGTCCTTTGTTCTGAGCCTGGATCCACCAGCTTCATTTCTGAAAACCTTCCCCCCATCCTTCTCTGCAAACTCTTGATCTAGGACACCTCTATCGCACTGTATTGGACTTACATGGAGAGGTGTTGTTAAGCAGGGGCGTGGGGAGTTGCTGAAGTGGTGGCTTCTGTGAGGAAATACCAGAAGCTTCCATGTCAGACAGAGCCAGTTTCACCAGCTCCGAGAGGAACCCTGTTACTGGCCAAAGCTGAGCTCATCAGCAATGTTGGTTACACATTTAAGAAAGGGTAAGAAAAGCCACGCAACAGCTGTGTGAGAGAGGAGTGAGAAAACATGAAAGAAACAGCCCACAGGCACCAGGGAAGGAGGAGGAGAGAAGGTGCTCCAGGCGCCTCTGATCTCTACTTTGGAGCAGAGATCCCCTGAAGCCCATGGAGATGACCATGATGGAACAGGTTATCTCCCTGCAGCCCATGAAGAACTACGGTGGAGCAGATATTCACAGTGCAACCCATGAAGGACCCCCTACCAGAGCAGTCAGACATGCCTTGAGGGAAGAGTCAGCCCATGAAGAGCTCAGGCAGAAGCATGCTGCTAGCAGGACCTATGGCCCATGGGGAACCTACATTGCAGCAGTCTGAAGTCCTGAAGGACTGCACACCATGGAAGCAGTCCCATGCTGGTGTGGCAGCTGGAAAGGACTGATGTTGGAGAAGTTTGTGAAGGACAATCTTGTAAGAGGGACCCATGCTGGAGGAGGGGAAGAGCATGAGGAGGGAAGAACAGAGATGAAGTGTTATGATCTGACCACGACTCCCATTCCCCATGCCCCGTGCTGCTCAGGGTGAGGAGGTAGAAGAGTAGGGGGTAAAGTTGAGCCTGGAAAGAAGGGAGGGGTGGGGGGAAGGAGTTTAAAGATTTCTTCTTACTTCTTGCTGTCCTTCTGTTATTGATTAGCAATAAGTTAAATCGACTTCCCTAAGTTGAGTCCATTTTGCCTGTGATGGTAATGGGTAAGTGATCACCCTGTGCTTATCTTCAACCATGATTTTTTTTTTTTCATTATATTTTCTCCTCTGTTCTGTTGAGAAGGGGGAGTGATAGAGCAGCTTGGTGGGCACCTGGAGGTCATCCAAGGTCAACCCACCACACATATTCATCTTCAGCTGTACTTTTTCTATGTTGAAGAGTCCTAACCAGGTCAATTCAGTTCTCAGGTGGAATATTCTCCATAGCTTGATCATCCCTTTGACTCTTGTTGAAGCTTTCTCAGTTTGTTGTTTGTGAGATATAACTAGAGTTCCAAAACTTCAAATACTAAGGTGCTGCCAAAACTTAGATTTATGAAGTGGCATCATGATGTTATCTGTACTGTAAGTAATTGAAAGAGAGAGAGAGAGCATGTGCTAGTTGTTCTTCATCTGCATTACTTTATACTGACCTAGAATTAACTTAATTGGCCACTTCACTGCCTACTTTCACAATATCCTCTGGCAACATTCAGTTATCCTTAGTAACTTGACTAACACTGACCAGAAAAATTCCTCTTTCCCATGATACCTTTCATTTTCTCTGTATTTCCTGTTATTCAGCATCAGTGTGATGTGACTGAACACATCAATACCTATCACACAGAGCTTTTATTATAAAAACATCACAGAAAGCCTTTTCTTGTTCTTCCCCAACTGAAGGATGATACAGGAACAAAAAATACCTGTTATACTTTCATCTTAAAGCCTTCACTGCAATTTTTCAAGAAGTTTGACACCCACCACGCTGAGCTACAGGATTTGCTTCATTTCTCCACTAAGAATTTACTGCTGGTAAAACAGTACTGCCATTAACAAACTTTCAGTAGTTTACACCTAGTACCACTAGGTGTCGAAAATATATCAGCACAAAGAGGAAAGAGTTCCTCTGAACATAGCATCTTTAGATACAACAAAGCAGGAAAATACTATGAGTCCCCACCTCATCATACCATATTTCAGTACCACTGCAGACCACACTTATCATGCAACGGCAGGGCTGCAACCATTAAAAGTAATAGCAAGCAAAACCCAGGTAACCTAGGCAAGTGTTCTGCGTTTTAATATGTTTATGTATCATGTATTGCTTTTTAATCAAGTAATAAATATTTAATATTTTTCCTGTAAAAAAGAAGATCAATATAGGTGTTCTTTCAACAATTGTTTGGGATTTCTTTAATTTTGGCACTGTATTGGTTCACTTGAGAGGGATGGAACATAGATATATGCTAGAATACATGTGAAACAAATTCCTGGAAGAACTTGTATTATATATCACAGCCCTCAGAAAGGCAGTCCTGGCACGTCAGGTTTAAGAAGTCAACATAAATACAATTCAAATTCAGTCGAGTTTAAAAACAAAACAAAACAAAACCCCACCACCAACTTTTTTCACTGCCAGTGGAACCCTTATATTTCAGAGGAAGACCCTCTGATCAATCCAGGCTGAATTTCTAGCCTAAGTTTTTATATAACTCAGAATAAACAGTGTTATCATATTACACCAGTACCCTCTACTAAAGTTTGAGTTAAAGAAAAACCATTGTGCAACATGTCAGGGACATGTAACAATGCCCTGAAATTAAATTTAAAAAATCTAATTTCGGCTTTTAAAGAAAGAGGCTTTTTTCCAAGCCCCACAGACACCAATGGTAGATGGAGCCAACTTTGAAGAGATCTTCATCTGCAACCCAAGCTAGAATTCTTCCCTTCCTGTATCCAATTTAATATTTTAAGAAACTTGACTAATGTTTTATTATTATCTGATTTATCTAATCTGTATCAACCTACAGAAAACAAAAATTGCCTATTGAAGTAATTTATAAAGTGGCATGAAATACACAAATAACAAGTGGAGCCATGCCGCTTCACCCCTTAACATCTCATAACCCTGAACCCTAGTTGTTTTAAAAGCTTTGTGCTCCCTACCCTGACCTTAAGTAGAGTGCACAGCCTTCCTTCTGTATTCTTCCTTCCAGCAACTCCTTACGTGCCTAGCTGCGCCTCTTCTCATAAACCCAGAATACAGAGTCTCTGTACAATTCCAATAATGCATGCTCTTTGCTTCTCCATTCTCAATAAGCGATCTAAAAAAATCTTCAGGGCTCATTAGCTTAACATGAAACAAGGCTCTTGAAGCACATCTTGACAGAGCATCATTTTTAAAAAGTGGCAGGGCTTTGAAAAACAGTGAATATGGAGTAGTCACGTCAATATGCATATTTGTGAGATATTAAGCCACAGATAACTGCATTTCAGGATGGAATTGCATGCATGATCAGATTTGGATTGAGTATCTGTTTAATTAAAATAGTTGGAAAACAAATGGAGATGTGCAAATTGGAACTTGTGTTTTAAGACTTCAGGCAGTGGGGCTTAAGAAAATGGAGTATAGTTTTTACATTAGGAATAATGAAAATGGTAATAGGGTAATAAAGAGCAGGTAGTACAGAAAGTGTAGAAAACAGAACAGTAAAATGTGGATGTATTATATACCTTGGAGGTACATAATCACTTCTTAATGCCATTCATTCTAGAAGCATTAGAGAATGGGGCACTTTAAAACATGGCTATATACCTTCAAGGTGCTGAATTCCTTTATTACAAGTTTAAAAAGATTATTTGCTCCAGGACAGGCCACATTTCTGACTCTCTTTACATGGGCAGAAATAATTATGAGAACAAAGACACCAACATTTAGTAATTAGACTAGATTTGTTGCTTGCATTAAAAACTAAACTATATTTAAATAGGATCTGCAATATTTTGTATTGCAGTTGTTAGGCTTGTTCAAATGACAGAATGAAACATCTGCCTATAACTGTAGGATTAACACTTTGATTTACGGAACTAAATGGTGCTAGTGAGCAAATGTGGGCATAACAAAA